AAAAATGTATGGTACAGAAGTAGAAGTGATCACACCAACTTAAAAGATTTACCTATTAAAATATACAGAGAATCTTAATGAGTACAGGGTATTTAAAAAATGCAAAGGGGGGTTAATTGTTTTATTTTTCTTACATTTTGGGAAGAGGGGACTTCACATAATTTTGATAAGTTACCCTTTACAAAATTATGTAAAAAGTACAAGAGTGTCTGGTAAACAGTCTGCATTTTTCCAAAAGATTTTTTACAGCATGCAATTGTTAAGGCAGCCTTCTCCTCCTCCTCATAAGGAATCCTTTTACTCAAATAATCTTCTGCTGCAAAGATTAGGCTAGGGAAGCCTGGTCTCTTCTGTTAACGCCTTTTGTCTTTCCTGTCTGATTTACGGTCTCTTTCACTCCGCGAAGTTCTTTTGCCTGACCGACTACTTTCTGATATAGACCTCTTTCTGTCAGACCTTGAACTTTTATCCTTTGAGCCTTTTGCATCTCTGCTACTACCTTTTGAAGACTTGTGACTTCTATCTTGTCCTGAAGTATCCCTTCGCTTCCTATCCACGCTCCTCCTGCGCTTTCTGTCCCTATTATGACCCCTTCCTCTGCTTCGACTTCTGCTCTCACTGCTGCTACTACTACTGCTGCTACTGTCTCTGCTGCTACTCCCAGTAGTGCTACTACTACTGCTAGAACTACTGCGACTACTACTGCTGCCACTGCTAGAGCTACTTCCACTACTACTGCTGGTTGAACTACTACTGCTAGTACTACTACTGCTACTACGACTTCGACTCTTGCTAGATTTGTTCCGTGTCCTACCCCTGCTTCTACTCCTGGTCTTACTTTTAATTTCTATACCTGTTGCCTGAATTTGATCTGTCTGTGCCTCAACCACCTTTACAGACACCACAGTGGCTTCATCCTTTTCCGTCTGAGGCTCTTGATCCTGAATGGACTGAGACAATGGAGGTGGCTGTGGCAGTGGCACAGCCTCTGGCTGAGGATGAACCTCAGTCTCAGGGTGGGCTTCAGATTCCTTTCCCCATTTCTCTTCAGGTTCAGCGTCAGTTTCTGGTTTGTTAGCTTTCTCCTTCTCAGGGGAAGGAGTGTCACACACTTTCTCTGGCTGAGCATCACACTCAATTTCTAGGTCAACTTTGCCATTTTCATTTTCTAAATGTTCTACACTATCTGCCTCATTAACTTCCACCATGTCTTGCTCATTATCCACTGACTGAATCCTGTCACCTTCCATTTTCACGATCAGAACCTCTTCCTGCTGACTATCCTGCTGCCTGTCATTCTCTAACACCTCAGTTGCCTCTTCTGCTTTAACCTGCATTTCATGTTTCTGTTCCTCCTCCTCCTGCTCTCTCTCTGCATCACTATAACCTGCACCTGCTTTTCCTCTGTCCTCCCCTACCTCCTCCATTTCTACATCATTGTTCTGGTTACCTGTCTCCAACTCTTCCACCTGCTGAGCCACCTTACCCTCTTCCTGCTCCTTGTTCTGTTCTTCCTTCTTTTCTTCATTCTGCACCTCCTGCTGTTCTTTTTCCTTCACAGATTGTCTTCTGGGTCTGGCCTCCATTTTGTTAATTTGCTCTGCAAATTCATTGCGTCTATTTTCAAACAGTGCTGAAGAGTAAGAGGCAAATATGAGACGGTAAAACTTGGATGCATATTTGAAGAAGTTACAAGTCAAATGTAACTATTTGCTGACTTGTGCTGAGATTTATGTGGCTATTTTGTTCACACAGTAATATAACCCTTGTCTCTCATGTTTAATCTATTCAAGTACAATCCAAAAGGTGGCAATTTACCCATACAGTCAGCAAAGAGCATACTAATCAGTTAAACCACCACTCCCAAAAATTTAAGTCTGATGAAAGAACTGTCACACTTGATCACTAGAAGCATTTCCATTTTTAGACTAGACTAAACTAATGAAAAATATTAGCATATCTGGAAACCAAATAGCAAAACATTTTCATTTTCTGGAACTTTTCTGCTACTGGCACTGATCTGAATATACAAGCTAGTGTGAATGAAACGGAAACAGTAAGAACAAATTAGGTGTTAAAAATCAAGTTCTCATAAGGTCAGATATCCAGGCAGACGCACCAATTTTTAAACTAGAACTTAATCTGACCTGTATAAAAAAGTCAAATGATATAAATCCCAAAACAGAAGTGGCACTGGGGGAGAAGACAGTAGGAAGATGCACTTGACTAGGACTCAACTAAATTAATAATTTCTCCTTTCATAAACATGTCATATGTACTGTTCTACTTGAAACTGCTTCCTAAAGGAAAAGGCAGTTCTTCTGGGAAGCATATGTGTGTGTATTTAAGAGACCTTTTTCATAAGTTTAACTAGAAAGTGATCATTCAAGCACTAAGTGATCATACAAGCACTAAAATTGTGCTGTATCTACAGAAACAAAAATTTGAAAGCTTTGGTAATGGACGATAACATGAAGTAAGGACTATAGCTTATTCAAATGTTTAATTAAGAGACATTTTCATAGAACTTTCCTTTTAAAATACAGCACTAGATAAATGAAACTTTTAAAAAAGTCATTAGATATTACTGATTTAATGATCACAAATCACCTTCTAACCACAAAATCACCACTGACCATAAGTACAACATGCTAGAAGCACTGTTAAGGTGGTCTTAGTGGTTGTAGTATATCAAAAACTCATCTCGGCAAGCAATCTAATGCTATCTTTAAAAAAAACAATAACGATAATTATGTGTTGCATTAACAGAAGTATAATCTGCAAGTCATAGAGGGTGATAACATCATTCTACTTGACATGTTATACCTTAACTCGAGGACTTTACAAGAACATCTGAGAAGCTAGAGACTTCCCAGAGCATAAATCTATATCAATAGCTGGGCAACCAAACTGTACAAGGAAAAAGTTGAAAAACCTAGGTACGTTTAATTTAGAGAAACGAAACTAACTGCACTTGACAGCTTAAAAAAAAAAAAAAGTGAATGATTGCCATAAATAAGATTGTCAGTGTTTCTCTATCTGTAGCAAAGCAGATTCAGATCAAATTTCAGAAAAACCTCCACATAAGAGTAGAACAGTGAAACAAGGTACTTAAACTGTGGAATGGCCTTCGTTAGAAATTTTTAAGAGGCTATCTGATTTAGAAAGAGTAAATCCCTACATTGGTACCAACAGTTGGATTAGATAACCCTGTTTTCTTAGGCTAGATAAGTATTTGAATTCAATGACAAGAAAATGGAGTTAAGTGAAAAGAACTAAAAAAAAAGAACATGTACAGCAAGAAGTAGAATATCTCATTTGAGACAGGGGGACACTGACAAGTGACTCCCAAATAAACTACCTACCATTCAACTTTTTCTGCGACTCTTCCATTAGCTTTTGTGTAGCGGCACACATCCGGCCAGGTATGTAGAACAGATGGGGCCTTGTCCTGGTTCGTATATATTTAATTATTTTGGCATTATGTTCATTCCATTCTTCTTGCTGAGAAAAAAAGGAGAGTGTTAAATAGCTCAAAATCTAGTTTATGCAAAAGAACAAAAGGAACCCTCCTTGCCTCCTGCAAAATGTAAGACTTACCAACTGAGCAAGTTCGACCTTTTGTTCCAATAGCCGCAATTCTGTCTGTTTAGCACGTCTTTCTTCAAACAATTCTCGCCTCTCATTTTCAACTTGCTTTCTCTCCTCCTCCGCCTGCACTTCAAGCTTTTGCTCAATTTCTTGACGCCTCTTTTGCTGAAGATCAAGACAGATTTTTCTTAACAAAAATTTACACAATTTAGAAACTAACTTACTCTGAACTCAGTTTATGATTATATACACATGATGAAGGAAAAACAAAACAAAAAACAAAACCAGCAAGGTTTCACTGCATGATGGTTATTTACAGGTTCACAAAACAAAAACAAAAGCGGGGGAGGATTTTTCAGGCTGCAATTCAGGCTGGTTTCATATTTACTCTATATTTAGTTTTGCCCCTGATATATCTGCATAAAAGTTGTCAGAAAAAAAATTCTGGAGCTCAGACAAATGTTTTAAGTTGCTTTCCACAGAAAAAGAGATGTCCGACTAAAAGCTGACATTGGCAATAGGTACTAGTACTGTGGTATCTAAATAATATTGAATATGTTGACAACATACAGATTCCTAATTGTGTTTCTATTATTAAACTGGTGATCTGATGCTAGCTTACAAAAGCTGAAAAATATATAGTTAAAGAATGTCACACGCTAGCTTTGCATAAGGTATCTCCCAGTGTTTGAAGCTATGTGCATTATAAGACTCCTCAGATAAAAATCAATTAATATAAAAAACACATGCATTCATTAAGGAAATCAGGTGCACAGAAGCTTAATGTTGTGCTGAACTACAGAACTAAAAGAGGGTAGTAGAATAGTTACAAATTATGGTAGAACATGACATATGGTGATTTGAAAGCAGCATGATCAGGGATCCTGGTTTTCCCTAATAAAAATAGTAAATTGTTCGATAAAACCCCCCAAATCTGCTGGTGCCCCTGACTTCCCCCTCCTCTCCCCACAACCCTGCTGGTGCCCCTTGCCCCTGGCCACTGCAGTGGAGCAGAGCCTGGCTCCCCCACTGCTGAGCACACCCCCAGGAGGGGGAAGAGGGACTTGTGTCCCCCAGACTGTGTTGGGGGCAGGGGCAGTAAAATCTGTGGTTTTCTTTGCTTTTCTGTGGGAAACAGAAAACCCAGATCCCGGGTCATGACCATACAGGGATTCTACTAAATTGAGGAACAGCAAGAAATCACAAATGAGAGTCCTCAGTCAATGTTTATATCTGGCAGTTAGAAGTAACTCTAAAACCTAGGTTAAACTCTTGGGTACTAAATGTCAGAATTTGGCACTTTAAAAAAATTAAAAAAAAAGAAAAGAAATCAATGCACCTGCCACAGATATTTTCATTCCTTGCGCTGAAACAGTAAGTACCTAATTTTACCTTACATGCAACAGATTTCAGGTCATAACATTAAAAGAAATAAGTACCCTTTCAGTAGCAACTGTGGACTCTTGTTTAAATTTCTGCAAAGTACCCATCAACAAGCCAAATATACGTCGATTCCTGAATTAAAAGAAAAAAAGAAAAGTTTAGAGGCTCCATTTAACTTCAGAAAAAAGGTCTGTCTGCCTAAACAATGAAAGAAATTACTTCCCATTAGTAGCACCTGTTTCTAAAAGGGCAGTGTCAGCAGTACATTAGCAACAGCGTATAAGGATTATGCCAACAGCGTAGAATATTATTTATACAAGTCATATTAATCTGTGTAGGGTACTTTACCTAATTAGATAAGAAAATGTCTCCGCCTACAAAACCTCATAACGTAACAGATAATTAGGGTGACAAAGTATGAGAAAAAATATTACTGTGAAAGTCAGCATATAAAGTTTATCATACAGAGAAAAAAAAAAATGACATTCAGGAGATAACCCATAAAAGATTGAAAGTGGGACACTGCCACAAATGCTGGAAATAGCACACTCCCCCCTTCCTCCCCCAAACAAACGAATAAAAAAACCGCACTCAAAATATGAGCAGAAAGTGTGGTCTACAACATGAGCAGAAAGGTGGCAGAACAGATGATCTATTCTATTACTTGTCTACTGTGTGACCTCAGCAGAATCATGTCACTTTTTAGAATATACCTCATTTACATTAGTCGACCCCCTTCACACCCCACCTGTTTTAAGGCATCTTCTTCTTTAATCCTCCACTTTTACATAGGCCTGTTTTTGCCCCTCTTAGGAATATTACTTTCTTACTATAATATTCCCTACTTTCCCCTCCTACTGACTTCTGTAGCCCTGTATTCTTGGATAAATGTCCAAATAAGTTTCTTTGATCAACCTGGTAGATGCCACAAAGTTCAAATGAAGTGGCAAAAGGTAGAGAGGAAAGGAAAGAGACCTGTAGGCTTGGCTGCAAATCCAGAAGCAAGGACAAGTCCTCTTGTATCAAATGGACCTGTCTGTGGAATGATGTCCCAGAGAATACTGGCAAATCCACAATCTGACATTTTGTTCTGAAGAATACGAAGGTTTTCCCTTTAGGAAGTGCGTCTGTAACATGTGACAACTGCCCACCAGAATACCAAGAGGAGGTGCTGGTTCAGATGTCTGTGCCCTATCATAAATAAGTTTTCCACTTGGCTCCTTATTCCAGATCAGGCTCCCGATTTCCCCCAAGACATTTAAAATGTGGACCAAGTAGCTACAGACAAGATGCTTTTGAAGCAAGTGTGTTAAACTGTAGACTGGGAGAAGGCTGTGTGTGAGCACAGCAGATTCAGCTATCAGTTGTATATTCAACATACGTGGAGTAGAATGGGGTGGAAATTCTACAACCTACCATAATGCAAATAATGATGAACAGAAAAACAACAGAACATAAGGCTATAAAAGGAGTAAAAAAATTAAAGCAGAGTTATAGGGAGACATAATATGTAATGTTTCAAAGACAATGGTGAACTTGAAATAGAAGCAGAAAAGATCCAACTGACAGGTACAGATTCTTTTACAAAATATCATATCAGATGTTTTTCTAATCATGACTTCACTCAAAAAAAAGCACCACACAGGCTTCTTCAGTGATTCTTAAGTACTGTTAAAAATTAAACAGAAGTTTGATAAGTAAATTTTTCTTCGGTAGCCTCTGTTCTCACTAAATTTGGACAGCAAGCACATTCCATCTTATTTTTCTGCAGAGCTGCACCAATGTATTGGTCCATATTGTACCAGCCCGGATAAAATGAAAATTTACATTAATCGGCAATCGACTTCTTTTGGCCCATGATGACTCTGATAAATGCCGCATGCCTGCCCTGCCCCCAGGAGGGTGGCTACCCACGGCCCTGTCCTGCTCCCCACTGGGGCCCTGCGGCTGTGCATTTTGCCCCCAAATGCCACGCATTGCCCCAGCCCCAGCCCCAACCACAGCCCTGCCCAATGCTCGCCCTCCATACAGGGGCCTTGTTCCCCTTCCTCCAGACTTACCTGTAGGGGCTGCTCTCCAGGCTGCCTGGCAGCCACGTGCACGTGTGCAAGTGGGGCCCCCAGCCTGACTAATCCTCCTTCTGCTGCCCCCCCAGCCCCTTGTAAGCTGCAACTCTGCCAGCCTGCAGATAGCTCTTTGCAGAAGTGGAAAATCTGCATGCTTTTCTTAAAATAAAAAATCCGCATGTTTCAGGGGTTGAAAGGAAAATCCATGTTTTCCCCCCTGTGGGAAACTGAAAACCCAAATCCCTGCTAATGAGTCAAAATGACATGCAATATTTGACAATGACTGTGCCCATTCCATTTCAAGAGGTTCACACAGGCCCAGTTTATGCTCTTCTGGCAGCTCGTCAAAGTCATCCTTAACATATAAGCTTAAACCATACATTTCAGAAATGTAAAATCAAGTTTTAAATTAGGAACAAAAACACCAAAACACTATGTATCTATTAAGCAATAGGATTTCTAGATACCTTTGTTTTCCCTTCTCATCCATATTTTGATCCTGAATAAGGTCTCGACGTGTTCGCTCTTTGGAGGTAGCAACAACGGAAGACTGCAACGCCGGCTACAAGAAGAACACCACACTCAATCTGTGCTCCATTAACGTGCTTTTCTCATCCAGTTCTTCACTTTCCCACATTATTAGGGACCTACCAAATACACGATTTCACTATTTCCTGTGAAACAGCCAGTTCTCCACACTTTTTCATGGGGAACTGACTATGTTCAAAAAGCCAGTAAAGAGCTGGCAAAAAGCAGTCTCCTAGAAGGGCAGGGGGAGGGGGAAGAGAGCAAAAAAAAAAAGAAAAAAAAAAAGGCAAACTGCCTATCTCCTGGAAAGGGGCGGATGGAAATACCAGAAAAAAGCCAGCTAAATGTCCCCTTCTCCCAAAGTGGGGAGGGAGATGACAGATGGAGCAGAGCAAATCAGAGGCTCAGCTCCTGAGGTCAGCTCAGTCCAGGAGCCAGCCAGAGGTAGAAGGTGGGGGAGCTGCAAGAGACCTGCTCCTTGTCATGGCAGAACAGCCCTAGCCTCAGCCCCTTCACCACCTCCACCATGAGGAGCACTTCCAGCCACAAGTGGGACCAGGCTTCTGACCCCAGTGCAGCCACTTGGAGGCTCATGGCTGCCTGCTTCAAGCAGCCTGGGCTTTGGGCAGGCTCTTGCTGCCTGCTGGGTCACTGGACTGCTTGCAGCAGGTAGCTGTGTGCCTGTACTCCACTGGGGTCCGGAACCCGGACCCGCTCACTGTTGGCAGAAACATGGCGAGGAAGGGGCCAGCCCATTCTCCACTGCAGACCAGGCTCCAGCTGCACATGCAGGGGCAGCGCAAACCCCTCTAAGACACCCTTGGACTTCAAGGAGGCCAAATGCCACAGTCAAGACCTGTGCTACCCCACGGCAGTGGCCCAGCTCCCAGCTCAGTGCAGCCAGAGCAAAAGCGGGGACTGGTGGCACAGACTGGCCCGCCCCACTAGTGCTTGGGTGTAGGAAGAGGAGGTGCCCTGGGACTATCTGGGGCAGCCACCATCTGCAAGCACCTTCCCCCAGCCCCATAGCTTGTCCCCAGGAGATGCAGATGGGGGAAGGGGAGGCCAGAGCCACTGAACCAGAGCCCTCCTGCACAGGGCCACTGCACTCGCATGGCTCACCCTACCCTTTGCAGCTGGGCCCAACGGGACTGGGATGGGGGTAGGGATGTGCCCCCCTTGCTCCCCCACTGCGGCCGTTACTGCCTCCCACAAAGATGCCAGGCTTTGTGGGCATGCAGACCCTGGTAGTGGGGCACAGCCCCAACCCCTTCCCCAGAGTGGTCTGTAAGGTGCACAAAGCAATAAGCCGGGCCAGAACTCCAGACCCTGGTGCAGGCACTTCCAACCTGGCAACTGCCCATCACATCCATCTGGGCTCTGGGCAGCTACTACTGGCCACGGAGCCCAGACTGCTTGCAGCAAGGCTTGCAGCCTCCCTGAAGTGAGCAGCCTGGGTTCTGTGGCCAGATATGGTGTGCCAAGTAAAACGGCCTTGCATGCCATGCTCTGGAGGTTGGGGCTTTCAGTCAGTGCCTGGGAAGGGTAGGACTTAAGGTGTCCCTCAGTCCAGAGGTGTGGGGGTCCATTTTGCTCCACCTTCAAAGTGTAAGCCCCAGCCGGGATATGGCCACAAAACTGGGGGCCCCAACTGTATAATTGGCTGCCAGGGCCCATGAATTCAGTAGGTCCCTACAGATTACCTTTTTAACATCTTCATCCTCTGCGTCGCTTTCATGGCGTGATTCTCTTCTTGTCCGACGTTCTCCACCCAGCCTAAAACAAACAAACAAACAAAAAAAACCCAAAAAACTGTCAAAGACAACTGAGAAACTTATTCAAATAGAGGAGCACTACCCCCAAGACCGCACGTTGTGAAAACCAACTTTGCACAATTTTCCAGTAGTTTAGATCATGGCCAAGAGTATTAAGACTAAAGTTCCGCAGCTTAAGAGTTCACTTAGAGAATTTAAGCATTATAGTGTAGAAGAACTGCATTAAGACCCATTTAATGGAATAAGAGATAGGATTGCTTCTTTAGCTGCTTATCAAATGCCCAAGATAGTGGTACCCACAGATATTACTTCCAGTTCTGCTAACCTCTCTGCCTATGCTGATCAAATGTCTAAAAAATTCAGTACCATATTCACATAACTACTTGAGGACAGCATTCAAGCGTTTTCAGATTCATAAACCACTTTGACATTTCAGGAAAAAGATGCTGTCAAAGTAATCTAAAAACGCTGAAATTCTCACAAATTTCTGGAAACATTTTTACAGACTACTGGATAGGAAATTACAACAAAATACTCCTCAAAGAATCAAAACAGTGAGTTTTGTGAGAGTTTAACCTAGATCATTTTTCTTGTGTTTAAATCTTGAAAAATGGGTTTACTAAAAATAGATCCATAAGCTGCATTCAGATAAGAATGGATGTTTGTTTCCCTGAGGACAAGTAGTAGTGGCACACCTTGTTCTGCTGCTACTTCTCCCTGGGGAATGCCCTGGCAGGAAGCCTGGTCAGCAGCTAGAGTGTGGCTCTGGCTGGCCAGGCTTGGTTTTGGACAGCATGCAATGCTGCCAAGTGTGCCACCCCGCTTTTTTAAAAGTGTGAGTTTTTTTTGACTCCAGGATCTCCCAGGGCCAACTGTTCCCACCACCCCACCCAGCGCTGCAAGGTAGCAGCACAGGGAACACCTGCACGTGTGGTGTGTGGCACCATAGATGGGTCTGTGGTGCCACATACTATGCATCCATGCTCGTCTAGATGCGACCATAGGGTGTATCCACATGAGCAGGAATGTGCATTTCCCTGGGGACAAGTGCCACTGCTACTTGTCTCTGGGGAACACCTGTGCCACCCATGTTCTGGCATACAGCAATATGCTGGCCCCAGCAGCCTTACTTGGGGTCTTGGGGGTCTCCAGGAGCTGCAGCTGCAGTGCTCCTGCAGCAGAAAACTTAGCTGGCAGCTGGAGTCTCTCTCCAGCCAGCCAGGCTCCAGTTTGGGGCAGCACATGCGCTGCCCTGTTTTGGATTTTTTTTTTTTTTTAAGTGTGGTTTTGACCATGGGAATTCCCCTATGCTGCAAAGTAGCCATGCAGAGAACACCTGCATGTGCAGCATGTACAATATGTGGTGCTGCAGATGGGTCTGCAGCGCCACCTACCACATGTTCGTGGTCATCTGGATGTGCCCAGCCTAAAATTACAATTTAGTAATTGAAACAGTGATTTAAGCTCATAAGCAGTTAAACCACTGATGCTTAACCTTTGGGTGCTGTCAGCTGGATAAGCCTCCATCAGCCTCATGCTGCCAAATCAGGGCCATGCACTGCGCCTCCCTCAGCCCTGCACAGAGCCTTGTGCCATCTTCCTCAGCACCATGCAGCTGGATCAGGACCCTGTGCTGCCTTGCTCAGACCTGCGCAGCTGAAGAAGGGCCTCACCCTGCCTCCTTGGGGCCCGCACTGCTTCCAGCCAGCCCCTGTGTACCCAGATCAGGCCTGGGCCACCTCTGCACACTAATCTAGTGTGTAATATAGCTTGCAGGGTTCCCCATGGGCCTGGACATTTGGCAGCAGGGGACTGGCAGTTGCTGCCACTGCTGCCCTGTACCCAGGTTTCTGGACCTGTGGGGACCACTGAGGACTGAATGGCATGGCTTGATGGGGTAGGCCTGTGAGCCAAGTACCCTGAGCGCTTTGCTGAATAAGGGCTTACTGAAGAGCAGCAGGCACAAGTTAGGAAAGAGACTTTCTCCTTCACTTGATCCAGCCTAAAGTATCAGCTCTACACACTCCTAAAGCAGGTGATGTACAGAAGCTACTTAAAATACAAATACATATAAACTAAATCTTGTTTTACTGGACGAGTGTTTAGCTCTGTATTAAATGGTAAAAGATCTAACTCCTCTTAAACTGTACATTGAGGGAGGCATATCTTAAATCTTATCTGAACCTGCTGTGAATCAAAATTTGAGAAAAAGACCTCACGGTTAGGGCGGCTAGGAGCTGGAACCAACTTCCAAGGGAAGTGGTGCTGGCCCCTACCCTGGGGGTCTTTAAGAAGAGGCTGGATGCCTACCTGGCTGGACTCGTCTGAGTCCCATTTCTCTTTTTGGGGTTTTTTGTTGTTCTCCCGCCCTGGCGGGGGGTCGGGCTAGAAGATCTACTAGGTCCCTTCCGACCCTTAATCTATGAATCTATGAAAAACCTGCTTCTACAGAATATATTTAAATGGGACAAGTTTCATATAAATTTTCCCTTGTCAATAAAACTGGTAAGGTTTCAAAAAGATAAAGTCTTTACCAAGGGCCAGATACTGGCAAGCAAGCCCCATGCACTCCCAACATTCAACCCCTCTAATCTTGTGGTGATGATGGTAAGACATTTAAATACGGCAACTCAAAAATAGAGAAGCTTTAAACGAACATCTTTAAAAGGCCGAATAAAAATCAGTTACACATTCCTTTAATTGTTTATTAAAGGTGACGTGCAAAAAAATAAAGAGAACTGTAGGACTATATAATCTACATATCTAAGTGCTTCCATTAACATTAGAATAAATATATACACCCAATTTTACCCCCATCAGAATTATGGAAGGTGTAAATCAAGACTGATAATCCAGAAAAAATGCAATTTTTCTTTCATGGGAGGCCCTATGCAAAGTGTATTTTTCAGAGAAGAAAAAATAAACCAGGATTTCATGACTGCTGAGACAAAGTTACATTGCTGTTGGTCCGACACTGGTCCTGTAAAATCATCACCATCAAAAGTTAGATTTGGAACAACCAATCTTGAAGAAGCTTATCAATCTGAGATTATTTCACAAACTATTACTGATTCGAAGCATTAGATTTACTAAGTCAGAACAGCCATTTACCCTAGTGTAGTCTCTACACCTATTTTTTTTTCTTTTTTACCTACCTACTGGTTGCCCCTTCAAGATCCCTCTGTTTGGCTGGGGGTCCTCCTCCGCTATCCGAGAATCCACGCCTAAGGAGAGACAGCTAAAGATGATGTCCAAGAACAGGTCAGGAATCCTAAATTCAGGAGTTCCTAACCCCAAGTCTGCTTCTGGTTTACAGTTTTGTGGGCAAGTCTGTTTTTGTTCAGAGATGCCAACGGTAATAATTTAAAGGCAGCAGCAAGAATACAGCATTTTACAAAGACCAACAAAATGGCCTATATTCTTGCTCTATGGAGCAACTAATTTCAAGTCAAATCCTGCAAACACTGATTCACATGAACAGCAATACTAACTTAAGTAGTGTCATCGCCCCTCCCCCTCATCAGCTTCAGTAAGGCTACTCATGCAAACAGAGTTACTCAGGTTATAAACGTGGGCAGTTTAAGACTGCTGTATTAGTATTAAATTGTCACCAAAAATAAGAAAGTTAAAAGAGCCCGTAAGTCTACTTATTCAGTACCAGAGAAAATACATTTTAAAATGGAGCAATGTTAGGAAATAACTCTTCCAACTTCTAATTTTAAAGAGAGAAACAAAAAACATTCCACTTCTTGCCACCAGATCCATTTCATTCAAAGTTATATATTATGATTGTTAGCAGTTTTAAAACTTCTATCCCTTGACTTCAACAAAGTCTTTTGCTAAAGTAATACCTCTTTTCTGACACGCTGCCAAGTTTTGCTTTTGAACCATATTTAAACATTAAGCTTACAGACATAACAGCAGAACTTGAGGGCCTTGTTACACATTATACTGTAAGCTTCACAAATGTTAATGGACATTAGTACTAGCTCAAGTTTGGATGAGTCACAGGTCAGGCCAGCAGGAGCCTCGAGGACTGAAAGGAAGAATCCCGCCCCACTCCATTACAGGCTTCCCTCTGCCCCATAAGTTCCTCCCCTTCTATTTCTGGCTGTCTGCACTGACTGTTAACCAGTTTACCGCCCCCCCCCTTCTCCAGGCTGAGCCTGCCTAGAGCAGCAGCAACACTTAATGCTTCCTTTTCTGCTCCCCGGGGGGGGGGGGAAGAGAGAGAGAGAGAGAGAGAGTGTGTGAGTGTGTGTGTGTGTGGCGGGGGGGTGAAGAAGAGGCAGGATTTTTTTTTTTTTTTACATTAAACTGTAGCCTAAAGTAGCTAGCTACACAATAGTGCACCACCAGCTGGGTACCACAGATCAGAAAAAATCATGCCCTGGGGTGGTGTAACTTTGAGAGGCATACCAAAAACTAGTTTTAGGTGTTAACGTGTGGACAAATCCAAGGGTTAAGCGCTCCAGCAGCCACCTGTGTAACAAAGCCCTGGCGCTCTCAGCCCCACATCCCATTTAGGCACCAGACAAGACCCTATACAATAGCACCCAAGCGCCTTACCCAGTGATTCGTAATTGGGAGCTGCAAAGCACTGGCAGAAACACAGACACCCAGCACAATCCCCCAGAGATGGCAAATGGGAATGCCCAGAGTTGAGAGCATGGGATCCCTGCTGGGGCCTCCCAAAGGTCTCTGCTACAGGAAGCTGCTCCACTATTTCATTCCACAGACAAAAAGAGGGCAAGCGAAAGCTGCTGAGCCGCTGCCCGAAGGGGAAATGGAACTCCGAGGCACACGGCTCCAGCCCTTTTGAGCGAGGACCCTGCAGCTACTCTGCAAGCAGTGCCTGGCAGCTCAGCAGCAAGGCCCCAAAGGGGAGAAAACCGGGAGAAGCAGCGAGGACAGAAGCACGCAGGGGTCATGGTTAGTGCGGGTCCTTACCTCAGCAGTAAACTACCGCGGCCTCTACCTCCACCAGGGCCTGCGATGGGTAACAGCCTGCTTTGAGGGGGCCTGCAAGAAACGGAGCGCGCGTTAGGAAGGCCACGAGCCGCCCAGGGGGCTCCGAGACCGCCCCAGTGCTCTGCACAGGCGGGCCAGGGCCGCCCAGCGCGCCGGGCGAGGGGGAAAGCACCCACGCCCTCTATCACGGATCATGACCCCTTCCTCCCCCCGCTGGGGGCAGCCCGGGAGAGGCTCCGCGGGGCCCAGGCGCGGAGCGGAGACGCCCAGCCGCACCTGACATCGTTGGGGTCCCGGCCCGTGAGCTTGCGGATGTTCTCGTCCACGTGCTTGAGGCTTTCCTTGGCCTTCTCCAGCTGCTCCTGCAGCGCGCGCACCGCCACCGCCATCCCGCCCGCAGCGCGGCCTAGCTGCGGCCCAGCGCAAAGCACCGCTGGGTAACGGGGAGCGAGACGTGCCGCCCGCCCGCGCCCCCGCCAATCAGAGAGCCAGACGGATCGTGGCAGTAGCCAATTCCGAGCCGCCTCCCCGCGCCAATGCCCCAGGCCCGAGTCAGAAGGACGTTCTCTGCACCCAATTAACCGCCTGACCAGCCAACCAATTACAGAGCCGCACATCGGAGTGACATGCTCCACACCCAACCAGCCAGGGTCCTCCCTTGCTACCTCCATAAATCAATAAACGGGCAAGCAGAACGGCATTGCCTTTTAACCAACCATCGTCGCTTCGTCTCTTCATATCAACCAATCAGAGAGTCAGAAAGAAGATTGACACTTTCCCAAACCGCCCCCGATAGCGCCCGCAGTCCCCCCCGCCAGCAGAAAGCTAGGGATGGGACTTGAAAGAGGAGGGGGTGGGTCCCAGGCAGCGACTAATTAGATTGCTAGATGCTCCAGCCTCGCCGACAAATGAACCAATGGCAAAGCGCTTTATTGATAATGCCGGGACTCAAGTGCTTGAGCCGGGCAGCTCTGTGGTCGTGGTTTTAGCTGCTCCCGCGAGGCCTGAGTGGGTCATGTGTGTGACGCCACTGCTGCGCCCTGGCTCAGGGCGGCTGCACAGCTCCGCTGTCCTTGTCCCTGCTCCCCTACTAGGGCCTCGGGCTGTAGCCCTGGCGTTTCTCGGGGGAGAAATCCGGCTCTACACGCGCGGGGTGGTGACACACGGTCTCAGCCCCGGTTCGCTGACCTCAGTCACCGCTCAGCGGAAAGGGGTAACAAGCGACTAGGCCGGCGATGCAGCCCCTGGCGCGTAGTGCCGGCACTGCTGGGCGCAAACGAGACTCACGGGATAAACCCCGAGATTTCAAATGCGAGTGCTTAGCGCCGAAACCATTATGCCCTGCGTTGGG